GGGTCTTGGTTTTTTATCCATTCTGATACCCTATGTCTTTTGGTTGGCGCATTTAATCCATTTACATTCAGTGTTATTATAGAAAGATATGGGTTTAGAGTCATTGTGATGTCTGTATGTTTTATGCTTGTAGTGATGTCTCTGATACTTTGTCTCACAGGATCCCCCTTAGGATCTCTTGTAGGGCTGGTTTAGTGGTGACGAATTCCTTCAGTTTTTGTTTGTTTGGGAAGACCTTTATCTCTCCTTCTATTCTGAATGACAGACTTGCTGGATAAAGGATTCTTCGCTGCATATTTTTTTCTGTTCAACACATTGAAGATCTCCTGCCAATCCTCTCTGGCCTGCCAAGTTTCAAAAGAGAGATCAGTCACGAGTCTTATAAGTCTCCCTTTATATGTGAGGGCACGTTTATCCCTCGCTGCTTTCAGAATTTTCTCTTTATCCTTGTATTTTGCCAGTTTCACTATGATATGTCATGCAGAACATCGATTCAAGTTACGTCTGAAGGGAGTTCTCTGTGCCTCTTGGATTTCAATGCCTTTTTCCTTCCCCAGTTCAGGGAAGTTCTCAGCTATTATTTCTTCAAGTACACCTTCAGCACCTTTCCCTCTCTCTTCCTCCTCTGGGATACCAATTATGCGTATATTATTTCTTTTTAGTGTATCACTTAGTTCTCTAATTTTCCCCTCATACTCCTGGATTTTTTTATCTCTCTTTTTCTCAGCTTCCCTTTTCCCATAATTTTATCTTCTAGTTCACCTATTCTCTCCTCTGCCTCTTCAATCCGAGCCGTGGTCATTTCCATTTTATTTTGCATCTCGTTTAAAGCATTTTTCAGCTCCTCCTGACTGTTCTTTAGTCCCTTGATCTCTGTAGCAATAGATTCTCTGCTGTCAGCTATACTGTTTTCAAGCCCAGCGATTAATTTTATGACTATTATTCTAAATTCACTTTCTGTTATATTATTTAAATCCTTTTTGATCAGTTCATTAGCTGTTGTTATTTCCTGGAGATTCTTTTGAGGGGAATTCTTCCGTTTGGTCATTTTGGATAGTCCCTGGAGTGTGCAGACCCGCAGGGCACTTCCCCTGTGCTGTGGTGTATAACTGGAGTTGGTGGGCAGAGTCGCAGTCAGACCTGATGTCTGCCCCCAGCCCACCACTGGGGTGCCTTCTCTTCCCCACTCCTAGGGGTGGGATTCACTGTGGGGTGGTTTGGCCCATCTGGACTACTTGCACACTGCCAGGCTTGTGGTGCTGGTGATCTGGCGTATTAGCTGGGGTGGGTAGGCAAGGTTCACAGGGACAGGAGGGGCAGGCTTAGTTCGTTTCTCCTTAGGTGATCCACTTCAGGAGGGGCCCTGTGGCAGCAGAAGGGAGTCAGACCCGCTGCCGGAGGGATGGCTCCGCAGAAGTTCAGCGTTGGGTGGTTGCACGGAGCAAGCAAGTTCCATGGCAGGAACTGGTTCCCTTTGGGATTTTGGCTGGGGGATGGGTGAGGGAGATGGCGCTGGCGAGCACCTTTGTTCCTGCCAAACTGAGCTCTGTCGTCCTGGGGCTCAGCAACTCTCCCTCCCTTTGTCCTCCATCCTTCCTGCTTTCTGAGCAGAGCTGTTAACTTATGACCTCCCAGATGCTAAGTCATGCTTGCTGTCGGAACACACTCCATCTGGCCCCTCTGTTTTTGCAAGCCAGACTCGGGGGCTCTGCTTGGCCAGCAGGCTGCCCCTCCGCCCCGGCTCCCTCCTGCCAATCTGTGCAGAGCACACTGCCTCTCCGCCCTTCCTACCCTCTTCCGTGGGTCTCTCATCTGCGCTTAGCTCCGGAGACTCCATTTTGCTAGTCTTCTGGTGGTTTTCTGGGTTATTTACGCAGGTGTAGGTGGAATCTAAGTGATCATCAGGATGCACGGTGAGCCCAGCATCCTCCTACACCGCCATCTTCTCTCGCTTTATTACATTTTTGTAAATATTCATTTATTTTGGGGAGAGCACAAGCAGAGGAGGGGCAGAGAGAGGGGGACAGAGGATCCAAAGTGGGCTTTGCATTGACAGGCAGACAGCATATGTGGGGCTCAAACTCACAAACCACAAGATCACGACCTGAGCTGAAGTCAGATGCTCAGTTGACTGAGCCACCCAGGTGCCCCATACCTTTATCTCTCTTAAAACTCACAATTGAAACAAAAAAGTCACTGACCTCTCAAACTAAAATTACAGTATTCACCAAGCAAAAGACAACAGCACTTTAAATAAAATGCAGATATAAAGAACAAAACCATTAAACAAGTACAAAAGTTTTCCTTGGTTCTTGTTACACAAAACTTCATGAATCAAAAAGTAAAATACCTATTTATATTCCACAAAATTCAATCTTTCTTAAGTGGTTAATTTACACTATACTTTTTAATCAAGGCATACTCCTGTGTCAAAAAGAAGACTGAACAACTATGGATTTTATATGTGTGATTACATTTTCACATTACTGATGATGTTAACAAGTTTTAATATTTGTGCATTTATTAAACTTTAAGCATTCATATTTTAAATTATAAAGTCTCATTAGTTAACTGTGGAAAAGAGAGGATCACTTACTTCATTTTCAGTTCATAAAAACAGATGAATGTGAGAAACAGAACATAGGACTATAAGGGATGCTGTGGTAGGTACTCCCTTCCAGATGAGGCCTTCATTCCATTCTCTAAAGGAAGGCTCCACTTACACCCACTCAAAGTCATGTTCCCTCTCCCAACATCATGGCCTCTAGAACAGGAGGCAGTGGTAGCCAGTATCCAATGAGTGATCCATACAAGAATATAAAAGCCAGATCCTCTTGTTTCAGTTTGGGGTAATTCAGAAGGGACCTGACAGTTCCAGCTGCCTGTGGGATCTGCCATGGCTCTACTGCAGTTTCACTTCCCCTTCTGTGCGGTCCTGCCTTCCCTCGCCCTCACAGGTGTTATCACAGACACCTCTGGTACACAAATCTGAGTTTCAGAGTGGGCTCCCTGAGCAATCTGCGCTACAATTAAGGGGTTTGTAAGGAGGTGTCACTCAAAGCGAGGCATCTAAAAGCATGGTGTAGAGAATGGGGTATTTGAGCTGAGACCCTACAGAGAAAAAAGCCCCTGAGCAAAGGAACTGAGCCAGAGCTTAGGCCCACCCTTATGCTATCTTATGGCCCATTTCCTAAAAGAACAATTAGATGAAAAAGAGAAACTCTACCAGCCACATCTGCAGATAGTCACAGATGAGGGAACTGCAGGAAAAAAAAAAAAAAAAAAAAGGCCTAACAAGGAAATTTTAATGAATAACTGAACATTAAAAATATAAGCAGTTCTTTTTCATCTGGGATTCAAAATACAGTTCAGTATCCATATACATGTAAGTTAATATCCTGAGTAATCATAAAAATCAAGTTAATTTTTGTCTGAAATCCTTATAAAACTTAGTAAAAACAATAACTGCACAAAACTTGATTTTCAAGAAAGAATGCATTTCGTATTACTTAATCCACTGAATATTTTCTAAGTGTGTTCTACCCACTACTAACATTTTCTTTTCCCTAAGAGGTACTATTAACTGTTAGTTGCTATCAAATATAGGCCATTTATGTAGAAAGAAGTCTTTCCACCTTAATACTCTCCAAAATACTGGGGCACCTGGGTGGCTCGGTTGGTTAAGCGCCCAACTGGCTCAGGTCATATCTCACTGTTCATGAGTTTGAGCCCCACGTCAGGTTCCGTGCTGACAGCTTGGAGCCTGGAGCCTGCTTTGGATGCTGTGTCACCCTCTCTCTCTGCCCCTCCCTGCCCCCTCAAAAATAAATACACATTTAAAAATTTTTTTTAAATACTCTCCAAAATACTCAACAGATAACACAATCAGCAATAATGTTTTCTATTACTAAAGGATCAAATGACTGATTTTCAAACTGTTTTCCATGCCCACCATCACCCCCCAATCCTGGGCCCAGAGTCTCCAGATGAAAGTGCTTCAAGGAAGGAGTTACTGAGGGAGAGTGTCCCACCAAATGTCCCACCTGACATTTCAGCCAAGTCAGCTCTTCTTTTATTTTCAGTTTTATATATTGACCTTCTAAATAAACTTCACTTACATAAGTCTGAAAACCTCTCTGCTTTTAAGTTTATTTTATTTGAGAGAGAGAGTACATGTGCACATGAGTAGGGGAGGGGCAGAGAGAGAGGGGAAGGGAGAGGATCCCAAGTAGGCTCCACACTGTCAGCGTAGAGCCCACCATGAGGATCAATCCCACAAATCCATGAGATCATGACCTGAGCTGAAATCAAAAGCAGTACACTCACCCAACTGAGCCACCCAGGTGCCCCTGAAAAACTCTGTGCTTTCTTGAAGTGATTAGCATGGTTCTTGGCACACATAAAAGGACTTCACTAAATGGAATGGAGTCACCAAAAACAAAACATACTTCACCATCCTAGTCAAGCCCTACTCCTTGGAAAGTAAGCTTACAAAGAACAAATACATTTGAGATCATAGAAGTAAGACATAAATCTATTTGCAAGCCTCCCTGTAGATATGTAATCTCACACACACACACACACACACACACAATTTTCCTATATGCTCAAGTCAAGGAATAACTTTTGCAAAACAAATATGAAGTAGTATGTATTTTCTACAAAGTACTATCTAAACAGTAAGATTAAAACCATCTGAAAAGGAGAGAAGAAATATGGGGAAAAAGATAAGCTAGGCAAAGTAACTGTTGAACTACAACATTTGCCATGGTAATGTGCAAAACTTACAGCACTAATGTTTGTTTTCCGTGAACTCCAAAGTAAATAAATTTGCATTAACAATCTTATTTTTCCCTAAGAGTTATGGATTTGACTCAGCAATTTCTTTTCATTTGAAGGGATTTTTCTGGCTTTTGTAGGTGACGATGATAACTTTAAGTGAAAGTACCAACAATAAGAGGCATCCTGGAGGAATTTACAAGCCCCTGCTCTGTCTTCCAGGGATACCAAGAGTACTTAATGTAAGTTCAGAGTTCCTGTATGAGAACGCACACTTATGGATCAGTTAGTAAAAAGGCATTACATCACATCACTTCAGTGAAAACAGTGAGATTTGCTCTGAAAATTGCAAACACTAGATCTCACAGATGCTTCTTTTAGGGAACTCTGCTGAGCAGGCGTCTACAAGACTCAATGTTTGGACCACAAGTATGTGTATGTGTGCCTGTACAATAGTATTTATTTGGAAGTCAGGCTCAGGTTTAAGTAAACTATAATCCATTTGATCAAATAATTTTTTATGCCATTTATCACTGTACCCTTTTCTTCCTAATAATATTATCAGTAGCTAAGTACAAAATAAACACCATACTTTTTAGCAGATTTCCAATTTCTTACACCTTTTTTAATAATACCTTAAAAAAACTATCCATCCATATGCCTAAAAATAATAATAACTTATGCAGTTAATTTCATTAATACTAGATAAAGTATTTATGCAAGTCTATTTTTCCTATTTACAGGGCAATTTTCCCTAGGAATAGTAATTAAAACCAGAAACAAACTAATTCCAAGAGTATTTTTTTTATACAAACCATCAAAAAGGATACAGCTGTCACCATTATCCAATTAGTCTTAACATTTAAAAATAGAATATATTAATGTGTCTAAACTTACCAAGTGGGTAAGTAGGAATTAATACCATGGGTTGCTAATTCAATGTATCATTGAATATTATCAGGTTATCCAATCCCTAAAGCAATGTTCTGCATTAGGTGTTTAAAGAAAAAAATCTAAGTAAGAAATTCATCCATAAAGCTGTTTATTTAACAAATATTGAGTACTTTGTGCCACAATCATGCCACAATCATGCCAGATACATGAGTACTGTGTGCCACAATCATGCCAGATATTGTGCCAGGCAAGGGATATGTGTTAGTGAACAAAACTAACAGGGTCCCCTTCTCTAGGAGCTCACATTTTGATGGAGAAGATATATATTAAACATGCATAGATCAATGTAACACCACCTTCTTTGTTCTTTTAAAAAAATACTTGAATAAATCTGAAAGTCTCATATTCAATGTTTGGACAGTCTCCAGAAGAAGGATTCAAGGTACCATCTAAATTCTATATCTTCCAGTAATTAACATTATCACACATAACACTTGAAAGGAAGAATTATATTGTATTTATCCTTGAAACCCCTACTGTATTATATATAGACACATCATGCCAAGTTATGGCTTTGAGTCATTACTATGACAAAAAAAAGATTTATTTTCATAATGTTATTAAAATAATAGTAAGTGAAAATATTTGTATGGTACTTTACAGTTTACAAAGCTCTTTTACAAAGTATATCCCTGAACTCTCCTAGCAACCCTATAGAGGCAGAGGATAAATCATGCCTGCGATCAGCAGTTAAGGAAACTCATGATTTGCCCTAACTTATTCAGCTGGTAAGTGACAGACTGAGATTTTAAAATAGGTCTTCTGGCTCCAAAGTCAATGTTCATTCCAAGAAAATAAATACTTTACCACTAACTGCTAAAACAGCTTTCTATCTGCTTATTTAAAACATTCTTTCTCCCTGAAACGGGAACCCTCTTGCACTGTTGGTGGGAATGCAAACTGGTGCAGCCACTCTGGAAAGCAGTGTGGAGGTTCCTCAGAAAATTAAAAATAGACCTACCCTATGACCCAGCAATAGCACTGCTAGGAATTTATCCAAGGGACACAGGAGTACTGATGCATAGGGGCACTTGTACCCCAATGTTTATAGCAGCACTCTCAACAATAGCCAAATTCTGCATAAAGCCTAAATGTCCATCAACTGATGAATGGATAAAGAAATTGTGGTTTATATACACTATGGAATACTACGTGGCAATGAGAAAAAATGAAATATGGCCTTTTGTAGCAACGTGGATGGAACTGGAGAGTGTGATGCTAAGTGAAATAAGCCATACAGAGAAGGACAGATACCACATGGTTTCACTCTTATGTGGATCCTGAGAAACTTGGTGGGAACCCATGGGGGAGGGGAAGGAAAAAAAAAAAAAGAGGTTAGAGTGGGAGAGAGCCAAAGCATAAGAGACTGTTGAGAACTGAGAGCAAACTGAGGGTTGATGGGGGGTGGGAAGGAGGGGAGGGTGTGTGATGGGTATTGAGGAGGGCACCTTTTGGGATGGGCACTGGGTGTTGTATGGAAACCAATTTGACAATAAATTTCATATATAAATTAAAAAAAAAAAAACATTCTTTCTCCCTTAAACCTTTACACCAAAAATGTTTAAGTAAATCATCACCTCCTCTAGTCTCTTCAGTATAGCTCCATATTCATTCAGTGTCCAGCAAAGTATGTCTCAGGGCTTCCATCTGGAGCTGTGCATATCTGCAGCTACTCTGAAATCTCAGGAAACTGCGTATTCTTAACAGTTACATTTTAAACAAACAAAAAAAAATCTTTATAAAATGTTCTATATATTTCCTTGTCTGTCCCTAAACAGATTGTTCCAAAACAATTTAACACTCTCCTAATCCAAACAAGAATTACAGAGCCTCAGTCCTATAGCTAGACTCTTTGTTAAGTGCTGATGATTCAAAGGCAAATAGACACAGACCCCAACTTCAAGACAGACACAGGAAAGGGCAAGGAGGTAGTCAGAAGCACATTAAAAGTACAAAAACAGGTGTCTAAGGTAGGGGCAGCGCACAGTCCAGAAGGCCTTCAGGCAATAACTAAGGGATACACAGGCAGAAGACGCAGAGACCAGTGTAGACATGGAATTAAGGAGGGAATCTTAGGCAGTTTTACAATAATCATTTCCAAAACTTGATGCCTGCAGGTAGAAAGGAAGAAGGAAAAGGGGGGGAGGGGGAGAAGGGGGACGGGAAGAAGAGAAGTGGGAAGAAGAGCAGGGGAGGGGGGTGGGTAGAAACAGGGAGGGGGAGAGGAGGAGGGGCGGAAGTAGGAGGGGGGAGGAGAAGCAGTAGTAGAAGGAGGGGTAGGAGGAGAAGTAGTGAAAGTAGTTAGTTTAGTAGTAGAAGTTGAAGTTCAACAACAGCCTATAAGGCTAGAAGAAGGAAGACACATTGCTCAGGTCAGAGATGTCAAGCACAGGTGTGGGCATTCCCTGGAGAAAAGTAAAGGCAACCATCCCACATTCGACTCAACAAGGTGAAGACAGCTGAAGGGAACCAGCACATGTACACACATGCACATAGAGAACCTGATGTCACCTCCTCATCTTCTCATTTTATAGACAGAGTAAGTAGAAATATTCCCATGGTTCTGATCACAAATCACAGAATTAGAGCATCAGAGATTATCATGATTAACCTTGTCATTTTGTGGGTGAGTAAACTGAGCTCCAAAGAAGTACAGTTATTTGGCCAAAGCCACAAATGTTACCAGCAGAATAAGGACTAGAGCCCAGATTGCTGGCCCCTTGAGTCTAAGTTCTGCCAACAGACACTGTCCACCTCCCAATATTTACATGAATTTGTACTGTTTCTACCATCATTCAAAACTCATTTAACATGTATTATGATGAGTACTAAAATGAATTTTAATAATAGAATTTACCTCAAAATTATTTATGCTGAACTAATATAATCTTTCATAAATCTGTCAGGAAATAGCCTTAGAGTCATTTATATAATTCTTTTCCTACAGTAGTTATCTTAGAAAATGGAATGTAGATTAGCAGTCATAACTCACTGTTGTGTTTTATTATTTTATCATTATAAATAATAGTCAAGGTTAAAGATAATAGTGATATTATAAATCTACCATTAATGCATATAATGGAGTCTATAATAACTAATAGAGTAATTAACTACAGAAAATATAGATGCTGGCAGAAAGAAATTCTTTGAAAATGGGCATAATTATTATCACTCATGAACAGTGGTATTCTTTCACAAAGACCCAAGACTCTAGAGTCAGTCTTCTCCCTGATCAGAATACTCTCCCCTAAATGATCTTTAGGAGATAATATAATCCTGTTCCCCAGACAGGGTGGGGAGATCATCTTTCTTGATAAGAAAGCAGAGATATCATCTAAACTCCTCTAATAGGAAAATCTCAAATTATTGTTTCCAGGCATTCTCATTAACTGATTTCTAAAACACTTCCAGAAAAGTTTTGCTACTAGCTTTTCAGATTTTTAAGGAAAATATATAGTACATAGTTGCCTATACATTAGATTTTACCAACATGTTCAATTTATCCATTTCATTTAATTTGGTTCACACTAAAAGTGAATGTCACAAAGAGCACAGAGGTAACTATGCAGTTGAGAAACAGCCCAAATGCCTATGGATTCCTTAAAATATCTCTCCAAGTCTCTCAAAGCTAAGTCCCCAAAGTACTAAAGGATGACATTCCAAGAGATGTTACAGTGGTGTTGAATAAATATGACAGAAACCCCCAGGATCTAAAGCATGTGCTCAAAACCAGCCCTGAGGAAACACCTCTGTCATGAATAGTCCCATCATACCATTCTGTCACAAAAGCCTCTCTGGGTCCTAGACCACCTGCTAAAACTGTTTGATTTTGATTTATTCCATTAAGAGAGCAGAATGCTAAGACTTTATCAAATGAAATGTGCAAATAAAACACCTTTAAAATAAGTTAAATGAACCGGAGAAGTTGGTGGCGTAGAAGGATGCTGGGCTCACCTCATCCTGCTGATTGCTTAGATTCCACCCACATCTGCCTAAACAACCCAGAAAACAGCCAGAAGACTAGCAGAACAGACTCTCCAGAGCCAAGTGTAGACAAAAGTCCCACGGAAGAGTGTAGGAAGGGCGGAGAGGTGGTGCGTGCTACACGGACTGGCGGGAGGGAGCCAGGGCAGTGGAGGAGCAGTCCGCAGGGCAAGGCAGAGCCCCTGAAGTCTGGTTTCCAAAAGCGGAGGAGCCAGATTCCATGAGTTCTGACAGCCAGTGGGACTTAACATCTAGAATGTTAAAAGTCAACAGCTCTGCTATCAGAGAGCAGAGAGGGTGAGAC